CTCCCCTGATGCTTCGGCTAGAACATTTTCTTGCGTAATTCGTACACCCAAGGGCAGAAGGATTTAATCGCCGTCAGGTCCGAAGTCCATACGACGCCTCAGCTCTGCGGATGTCTCGGGGGTATGGCAAAGTGGAATCGTTTTTTTTTTTTGTTTTTTGTTGTTGTTGTTGTTGTTGTTTTTTGGTTTTTATTTTTCGTTGTTGTTGTTGGATTCGAATCCCGTCTTATCGACATAATCATTTTTTTATTAGATTTAAATCTTCAACAATAATGCAATCTTTTGAGTGAAAAAATATTTATTCCTATTCTGGTGCTTATAAGCAATATAAGTTCGATAAGATGTTATCAGTCATATAAGCAATATCGATCTACGATAAGTAGACCTATACTTTCCTATCTTTTCTGGCAAAGTTTACGGACAAGAACATTTACTGTACTTGGATCATCATATGCCCGCAAAGGACTAGTGGATGGTGCCGTGAAGACTTCTGGGTACTATTGCACTATTGTGGTGATTCTGACAGAGAACATAGGGATATTGGATCTTGTTGCGTCATGGCGCAAGATCAAATTCACAAGTAGTGTGACATGCATAACGCAAAACTGTTTATTTTGTGGTCTAAAAAGGGCAGTACCTGCAAATATTCTTATAGCGCCGATCTGATCACATCGTAGATCTGATTACAGCTTATGTAATAAGCCTTTTCATAGTTTAAGAATCGATTCCACTGCGCATGCGATTTTATCCCGAATTTCTCACCTTCTTTCGTTTAATTAAGAACAAAAGAAGGTTTAGACAAAAGAAGGTGAGAAATTCGGGATAAAATCGCATACGCAGTGGAATCGATTCTTAAACTATGAAAAGGCTTATATGAAACCGATCACAACACAGGAAACCCACAAAGAGCAAAGTTACTTTTCTAAAAGAAGCAAAATATATAGCCGGGTTCCCTGTGGTACATGCAGTACCATTTGTAAATGTAGCCGCTGATTCAGTGTTTCGACGGCTCATTTCAACATGGCGGCCATGTTGGCTCGAGTAGTTTCCATCTTAGGACGACAAAAATCTGCAGTTTTACGCTCGGCTTTTGAAGTAAGTCTGCTTTTTCTCTTTCCTCAGCTCAAACTATAAACGTCTTATTGATTAAATATTGAATTTTTGATTTGTTAGACTGCGAAAAGCTCTGTTGAAAGCCAGAGAGCCGTCCATGTCGCTGCTGTAAGACGTTCAGACCAATTGTTCGTGGTAAGGGTTCAGTACACTTTCACATGCAAAGTTACTCTTCGTGGATATAAAGAGGAGTCAAAAAGTCTTTCATAGAGCCTTGCATACAACAATTGGAAGATCATTTCTGATAAATAACATTTAAAACGGTAGAATTTTACATTTGTAGTCAGCATTCCCATTTCAAATTACGTAACTACTCACAAACATGAACCCACAATAACTACAATGAACTAAATAGTATACACTGTATTATTGTTCTTAGCACAGAGATTCAGATAAGAATAATCCTGATATTCCTTTTGAATTTACTCCAGAAAACTTGAAGGTATTGATTATTTATTTATAAAATATTTTTATCATACGTCCTGAACTATTTTATTTACATGGAGGTTTGGTTGGTATCAAGAAGGACCAAAAAATATTAAATTCCGAGAAATGGAAGGCCCTGGGAATGTTGTTGGTGAAGGTGTGAAAACTTTGGGATATAGTAGAGCAGGGCTTACAGTGCAGACACTTCAGTTCAAGTTCACTTCACTTCACATGAACAGTTCAAGTTTGTTTGTTTGTTTGTTTTTTGTTTTGTTTTTTTGACATTTTTTCATAACTATCCAATCACAGCCCTTTGTAGAAACAAAGCAATCAATTATTTTCAGGCACCATCCAGTCACAAGAAATGGAAAATTTTCACATTATATTTTTAGCTCACTCCGTGTGGACTTACTGTATGAAATGCTAGATCATGTGTGACAAAGTGGTAGTATACAAAACTGTGACACAAAATGCAAACTTTCAATAATTTACAGAAATAAAACAAGAATATCGTTAATTGACGAAGTAGCCTATAAAATGAAATTTAACAGTGACAATAACATAAGAGACTCTGGAATCGCACAAAAAACCTTGGAACCTCGGTAATAATCAGGCTTCTGATTGAATGATTTGGAAAATGTTTAAAAAACCTTGAACTGTTTATGATTCGAGTGTCCAACAAAACATTGACGATGCAAACAATTTGAAATTCCATGAACCTTCACTGGTACATATACATAATTTACGGGTCTCTCACCTCAGTTGTCCGGGTTTTGAGCCCTGGCTCACACTGGATCAGATGTGAGTTGAGTTTGTATGGTGGGTTGTTCTCTCCCTTGCCACAAGGGTTATCTCCGGGATCTCTGGTTTCCTACCTCTGTAAAAATCAACATGCGAGTTGAGTGTTGTATGTTGTAAATATAGAATGTAGTGATAGTGCATGTGGAGGGAACCTCACGGAAGAGCCCTAAATGGGGAGTGGTTGTTGTAAAATTTGTTGTTGTTGTATATGTACATGTATATACACAAAATTCAGACTTGGAGCAATGGAGAATTCAAAACTGGAGGATCAAATATTTAAAGATTCCATGATATTCTTTACGCAACAGAGAGCCAAAAGTATTATAAATAACTATCCAGTTGGCCATGAGAAAGCTGCAGTCATTCCTCTACTAGACTTAGCACAAAGACAATATGGTAAAGCAAAGTCAAATTTTTTATATTTAAGCATTGGTAGTTACATGTACTTTCAGCGCTTGTCAATCACACACATGAAATTATACAATTATTTTCTATCAGGACAAAATAGAGTTTTGTGAATACCAATCAAAGTGTTTACCATAAGATTGTTGGAAAACACAAAACTTTCAAGGGCACGTGTCTATGAATCAATTTCATGGAAACAACTTGATTGGCTTCCACCAAAGTTACCTACTTCATCACGACAATAAAGTGTATGATTTCACACATGTGATTGAGAACAGCTGTAAGTACACTGTATTACTGTTTGGATACACTAACTGGCATATTTTTACAAAGTTAGCCATTCACAATGGTGACATGGGGGAAATGTACAGGCAAACAAACATATTGTCATGACAACAAGCGAGGGAATACATAAAAACATACATACAAACAAACAAACATAGTGTCATTTTAATAGCTTGAAAACTGGTAAATTGGTTTGTGATGTCATCGAAACGCAAAAATAACATCAAATTGGTGTTTTTATTTTCTCAGGCTGGACATCAATATCAATGATGAACTATGTTGCCGACATGCTAAAGATGCCTCGCATGCGTGTGTATGAAGTTGCAACGTTCTATACTATGTTTAACAGGCAAGAGAATCTTTCTGTGTGTTTTAGTGTCATTGGATTGACAATCCTGGGCCTTCATGTATATACCAACATTTCTTCAGCAGCCCTGTTATTTGTTGCCCAGTCTCCTCTTCCTTACCAGAGGCTAATGTTCATGGCTGTGAAAAGCTCACAGCACAAACACAATGGTGACATAGCAAGGGATATGCCAGACCAATCACATTGCTCAAGTAAATAATCAGCCAGTTGAAATTCTAGAAAACAATTCATGGCACGGCACACTACTTATGGCACTGAGCTTTTCACAGCCATGCAGAAACTGCTCTACCACACTCCACACACTTGCTAGCTAGCTGCTAGCTACGACTACATTTAATGTTTTAAGCACACACATATTTACATGTTTGTTTTTGTGGAGAAAGGAAACTAGAGAACCCTGGGATAAAGCTTTATTGGCAAGGGAGAGAACAACATACTAATCAAGTGATTGAAAAGTAATGTGAATTGGGAATCATTATGCCACAGCTGAGGAGACGTAGCTGAAATGTTCTGTTATTAACAATTTATTCAACAGAGAGCCAATAGGCAAGTACCATATACAAGTTTGTACTACTACCCCCTGTCAGTTAAGAGATGCTGATCTTCTGTTGGAAACGCTCAAAAACAAACTAGGTGAGGATGGTGGCTGCTTGTCTGACTGGTCACACTGACTGACTGAATGACTAAATGACTGACTGATTGATTGACTGATTGACTGCACTGACTGACTGACTGACTGCACTGATTGATTGCACTGACTGCACTGACTGCACTGACTGACTGATTGACTGACTGCACTGACTGACTGATTGACTGACTGACTGCACTGACTGACTGACTGCACTGACTGCACTGACTGACTGCACTGATTGACTGCATTGACTGACTGACTGCACTGACTGCACTGATTGACTGACTGACTGACTGCACTGACTGATTGACTGCACTGACTGACTGACTGCACTGGCTGAATGACTGACTGACTGCACTGACTGACTGACTGCACTGACTGATTGACTGCACTGACTGATTGACTGCACTGACTGACTGACTGCACTGGCTGACTGCACTGACTGACTGCACTGACTGACTGCACTGACTGACTGCACTGACTGACTGACTGCACTGACTGACTGCACTGACTAATTGTCAGACTGACTAATTAATTTAACAATCAAATAATGCTGACTGACTTTGTAATTGTTATTTTAAGGCATCAAAGAGGGTGAGACAACAAAGGATGGCATGTTCACACTGACGGTGGTAGAGTGTCTTGGTGCTTGTGTTAATGCACCTATGATGCAGATTAATGACAACTACTATGTGAGTACAATATATACAATACATACAATACATGCACCTTGATACATACACCTTGATGCACCTATGATGCAGATTAATGACAACTACACCTTTTGCTGTTCATTAACCGCAAAGGAAAATTCATTAAAGCGAAGAAGCATTGTCATTAGAGCGAACAGGCATACAATAAGGCGAACGGAGTCTCAATAGTGCGATGGAACGTTCATTAAGAAATTTAGCATTGAATTTGACAATCATGAATATGTTTGCGTGGATTCATTAACGTTTTCAAACTTTCATTAGCGTTTTGGTGTAGACAATAAACCACAACACACATTCAATACAGTGTTTTGGACATTTATTTACGCAATACAATATTGACAATGACAATGCTTCTTCGCTTTAATGAATATTCCTTTGCAGTTAATGAACAGCAAAAGGTGTACTATGTGAGTACAATACATAGAATACATACACCTTGATACATACACCTTGATATTCACATTGATATACACCTTAATGCACCTATGATGACAACTACTATTTGAGCACAATAATATAAAATATGATAACATTATATTAGAATGATTACGATGCTTTTTAATGTTCGTTTCACAAACATACTTTCAGTGTGATTACAAATAATGTTCATCCTAAAAATCAATACAGCATTATCACTGCATCAAGCCTATAGATAATTTAAGATACAGTAAATATCAAAAACATATCTTTAATTTTTGTTGTGTGTTTCGTCTTTACAGGAAGACCTGCCCATGAAAGATGCTGAGGAAATCATTGATGACCTTATTGCAGGACGAACCCCAAAACCTGGCCCAAGGTGAGTCTACCTTAGATTTCAAAGCCTCTCTCGATCCTCTGCTTCTTAGTCGTAGGATTCTAAGTTGGTCTACAACCTCATATTCCTTGGATACTAGTGCAGGAGTTACTGAAGCTACTTTACTATATCTAACACATGGGCTTCAACTTGCAGTTGAAGCTCTTCAAACTAGTTCTTAATAAACAGCCCAAGGGTTGTTTCAGGGTTCTATCCAGTGCTTAAAATGACAGCTTGGACGCCAGACATGGGGACCGGCCAAAAAATGTTTTTTAGCCGCACATGCTGTCTTCTTGGCCAGACAAAAAACCTAACATAAAAAAGCAATCAATGATCTTTGTGGTTTCAATCATATATGTAATTAATGTAAATTAATTATGTTTTAACCACACAAATGCATGTCAAAATGCGTTGTGGATACCATGTTACCATGTTTTGACGCCTGACAAAAATTGTTTTCAAATATTTTCGATATCTGTCTTTCTCCGTAAACCAAACAGATCAAATTTAACTGTTCTTCTTTCTTCAATAGGAGTGGTCGGTTCTCATGTGAGCCTGCCGGCGGCTTGACTTCTCTCACTGAGCCCCCCAAAGGACCTGGATTTGGTGTACGGGATGACCTCTAAAACGGGTGAATCGTCAGATATCTTTATCCTTAGGGAATATGTCTTTGAAATTTCGATAAAAATAATCTTTCTTTTTAGCGTAAACCATGGATGACCACGGTATACGCTTGAGTATTTTGGCCAAAAAGTTATGCAGTTTTGTATAGACCTTTGGGCGCCTTTCTTACTTGTGTGACTGTATATAAAAGTGAAAATAATTATTATTCATCAACCAAGCTGTTCTGATGTTCTGATTACACACGTAGGCATTCTCTCCGTTTAGCAACAGAAACAGAAGAGTCTCTCTCTTTTTCCAGGGCTTCTTGGTCGTAGGTTTCGTTATCCGCCTCGTGTTTTGTCATTCTCGTACCCAAACCCTACTCAATAGCCAATGAGTAGGGTCTGGGTCGGAGAATACGCGTTTCATGTGATAGAAAATCTGCCGGTCATGTAATACACAAGTGAGTAATGCTCTTTCCTATCGTACCTTCGGCACACACGAACGTCTATCGATTGATGCGCTTGTCAAAAGTCCATGACAGTTAGGGACTTCTCGCTTTGTCTGCTCTCATCAAACTCAAAAAGAAAGAAGAAAAAAAGTTTTTTTTTAAGACAAGCAGATTTTCCAAGGTTGCGTGCGGAAATTCACCCATTCACTTTGTTCACCGCAATGGCGCCTACGGTCTACCATTGACGATCGCTTTATTTTTTCATTTAAATAATAGACCCTTTTCGAGTTCCAAATTACCGCTGTGTTCCTTGATTACAGACTCATTTGCTCAGGCTAAGCCTCGAATCAGTGTCTAATTACTCGCAAATACCAACGGTAAAGTAAAGAATGCACAAGTTCAACAATACGAACACTTTGAAACTTGACGGACCTTGACTAGAAAACGTGAATATTCTTCACAAAATCGAGGCTAAGCCTGAGTAAATGAGTCTGTAATCAAGAAACACAGCGGTAATTTGAAACTCGAAAAGGGTCTATTCAACATCAATGATTACTTCCCGGGAAATCCCTCTTTTCTTCCTTGACTTACTGCACTAACTATCCTGACATCAAGAGAGTAGTTTTTGGGTGACCCCTAACTCAATCACTGATAACATATTTTTCAGTGATCCCCCCCCCCCCCCCCCCCNCCCCCCCCCTCCCCCTCAAACTACAAACTTTTAGAAGACACTAAATATCAAAAAAAAAAAAGTTTTTAATTATTAGCCCCCCAATCCCCATAATTGTTGCAGGAGAAAATAGCAGGCGACCCTCCATAGCCCCATAGCCCCTCCATTCTATAAATTATGAACGCTCCCTTAAATCTAAAAAGAAAAAGAAAAAATAAGTGTACCGAGGTTTCGTGATATTCACGATTAAACACAAGTGTACCGACACATCTTTGAAGAAAATATTTCATCTACGAAAATATTAACCGGAAATCAATCATTTGACGTCGCTTTCTCCGGAAACCTAATCATACATATATGCTTTTACGAACAAAACTAAATCATCGAGAAATCGCAGTCAAAATTGATGTTTTGGTCGAATAAAATCTAAACCTTATACAAAAAAAATGGAGGGGTTCGCTCTTTCATAAGATTTTGTAGGTTGTCCTTGTAATTCAGCGGTTTGAGCGCATGGGCTATAAAAAGCTCATTTTCTTTCTGTCTGTCTGTCTGTCTATCTTATTGATATTTATGAAATTATTTGTAGCAGCTGGGAGGTGCCGTGGTGCTTCAAGAGATCTATATTACATGACCTCGTTTTCTCTTATGGTCTTGCACGGAAATGTAATGCCGGATTTCAACGAAGTCATTAAGATTAAATAAACGAGACGAGGCGCCAAATTTAAGCATTATCGTGATATCACACTGGGTAAATTACAGGACACCAATGCAAGTGAAGATATTTGATTTCAAACTAATTGGTCTCCAACTTGGTCTCCGGTAATCACGAGGTGTGATGAGTAGAAACCCCTGAATTTCTATGTCACTAGATTCTTAGATGAAATCATGTGTTGGTGGTGAATTATTCGTGCGTTTTTTGCGAAACAAAGAAAAAGAGTGAGAGTTGGAGGAGAGAAGTTTAAAATGGTGGATAAGGGTTTTCCCGTGTGTCCTAGCTTTACTGGAACTTCGAGAAAACCCTGACTTAGATCATCCCAGAGGTTGTTTCAGGGTTCGATCTGTGAGTTAGCCATGCCCTGACCTAGATCAGCCCAGAGGTTATTTCAGGGTTCGATCTGTGAGTTAGCCATGCCCTTACTTTGATCAACCCAGAGGTTATTTCAGGGTTCGATCTGTGAGTTAGCCATGCCCTTACCTTGATCAGCCCAGAGGTTGTTT